GTAGATCTGTTTCTTCTTTTGGCAGCCCATAGCACTTTGAATATTCTCCTCCCAATACTATAACTCCAAAGCATCAATTCTTCTACAGTCTTCCTTATTCACGGTCCAGCTTTCGCATGCATATGAGGTTACTGAAAATACCATGGCTTGGGTCAGGTGCACCTTAGTCCTCAAACTGACATCTTTGCTCTTCAGCACTTTGAAGAGGTCTTGTGCAGCAGATTTGCCTAATGTAATACGTTGTTTGATTTCTTGACTGCTGCTTCCATTAGTGTTGATGGCTGATCCGAGTACATTGAGGTCTTTGACAACTTCAATCTTTTTTCCATTTATGTGGATATTGTTTATTGGTCCAGTGGTGATGATTTTTGTTTTCTTTACATTGAGATGCAACCCATACAAGACTGGTTTTTGATCTTCATCAGTAAGTATTTTAAGTCCTCTTCACTTTCAGCAAGCAAAGGTTGAATCATCTGTATATTGTAGGTTGTTAAAGAGATGTCTGATATATCATTCCAGAAAAATTTTTCTTAGTCTATGGGCTCTATTTTTAATCTTTTGGCGAAATCTTTTGATTCATATTAGTTTCTAATTTTTGGGAGGTCCCAGTCATCTGTTTTGTCTTCTACTGCTTGTACATGTTTTGTAATGTTTGATAGTGTTTGTATGCCATGTATTAGAGCCCCTGAGTTTGCCCCTAGTTTTTCATTGATGATCGTTAGAGTTCTGGGTTTTGCATTTAGGTTTTTAATCCATGTTGAGTTTGTTTTTATATATGGTATGAAGTATGGGTCTTGTTTCATTCTTCTGCAAATAGATTTCCAGTTTTGCCAGCACCTTTTGTTGGAGAGAGTGTTGTCAAAGATCTGTTGACTTTATGTGGATGGATTTACTTCTGAGTTTCCAATTCTGTTTCTTGATATGTGTCATTCATTTTATTAGAACCAGGCTGTTTGACCACTTTGGCGTATAGTAATTTTGTACTTTGGGGAAAGAGAGGACTCATACTTTGTCCTTTTTCTTAAGCAGTGCTTTGTTTATCCATGGTCACTTTCTTCTCCTTATAAAATTTCGTGATCGTTTTTTGTCTATTCAAAGAATGATGTTGGAATCTCAATTGGGATTGCATTATATCTATAGATTGCTTTGGGTAGTATTGACATTTTCACAATGTTAAGTCTTCCTCTCCATGAGCATGGTACATTCCTATATTTTTGTAAATGTCTTTTGATTTCTTTAGTAGTGTTTTTAATTTTTCTTTGTATAGGTGTTTTGTTTCTCTGGTTGTATTTATACCTAAGTATTTCATCATTTCATCTTTGGGTGGCTATTTTAAAGAATATTTTTTCCTTATTCCTTTTAAGAGTCATCTTTATTAGTACAGAGCAATACCACTGATTTTTGTATAGTGTTCTTGTACCGTGCCACTTCATTTTATCTTTCAATGAATTCCAATAATTTTATTGCTGAGTCTTTGGGATTTTTCTATGTATAAGATCATATCATCTACAAATAGAGTCTTACTTTTTTGCCGATTTGGGTGACTTTAATTTCCCTGTCTTGCCTTATAGCTCTGGCTAAGACTTCCAGCACAGTATTGAATAAGAGTAGTGATAAAGGGCATCTTTGCCTGGTTCCTGTTCACAAGGGGAATGCTTTCAATTTTTCTGCATTGAGAGTGATGTTGCCTGTTGGTTTGTATAAATACTCTTATGTTGAGGAATTTCCCTTTAGTTTCTACATTGTTGAGTGTTTTTATCAAGAATGGATGTTGGTCATTCATACACATTTTGTTGCATGTCATCAGTTGCACTCCCCACAACGTTATATCACTGAGCCCATTCCACACTTGTATTTATTGTTTATTTTTAAGTATATTTATTTAAAACTACTTCTTTGGAATAAAGCAGAGACCTTCTTACTGAGGCCAGGTTATTTAAATAATAACAACTTTGTTATTTTTAATAAGTTTATTTTGGAGCTGATAGAAAGTAATGGGGTCCTGACATTGTGCTGTAGGATAAGCACTGGACTGCTAACAGCAAGGTCGGCAGTTCGAACCCACCAGCCACTCTCGGAAACCCTATATAGGATTGCTATGAGTTGGAACCGACTTGATGGCACACAACAGCAATAGCAACAGAGAATAGACTTTAAGCAAGTGGCTCTTCACTTAGAGTCTGTGTCCTAGGGTGAGTTATACAACATGTTTTTCAACTGATTCATCTGAAAACAGACCAACCTTAGCAGTATTAACAGTCTGGCTCTTTATTGTGGGGGCCTGTCCTGTTATACACTGTAGTATGTTTAGCAGTATCCCTGGCCTCTACCCACTGGATGCCAGTGGTACAAGCCCCCCCCTTCCATCCCAGTTGTAATAATCAAAAGACGTCCCCTGGGAGCCAGTCCATTAATACAGATTATAATATATGATACCTTCTTCATAAAGGTAATTGAACTGCTTTCGGTCAGTGAATATATGTAAAGTGCCTGGAGTTGTGGTACTAATGCTGGCTCAGAGTAAGCACTCAATATCGTTCACTGCAGTTTCCATACATAAATTCTCTTGAGCCTCAGGACCATCTTAAAACCCAAACCTAATCCACTGCCAGCAAGTTGATTCTGACTCATTGATCCTATAGCAGCAACACTGTAGAACACAGTCGGACTGTTCAGTAGGGTTTCTGAGACAGTAAATCTTTATGGGAATAGACAGCTCCCTTAGAGCACTTGGTGAGTTTGAACTGTCTGCCGTGAAATTAGTATCACAACACATAACCCTTTAGCCACTAGGGCTTCTTGAAGTATCCTACAGTTAGGTAGTAACATCTATCCTCCAACTAACAATTGAGAAAACAGAAGCATTTATTTAACCTTTCTCTTTGTTGTTTTCCCCTTTTAAAATATTTTGCATATTTAATATAAATATGGGGAGCATGGTAACTCTGTAGCATCATAAGTACTGGACAGCTAACTACAAAGTCAGCAGTTCAAGCCCACCAGCTGCTCTGCAAAAGAAAAATGAGGCTTTCTGTTCCTGCAAAGATTTATAGCCTTAGAAACCCTATACAGGGTTAGTATGAGCCAGAACCAGCTTGATGGCACTTAACAACACCAACAACATTATAAATATTTAGAGCTAGAATATAAATTAAAATGCAAATTCAAAAGGAGAGAGCTCAGGAATGGAAAGAAATGAGATTGAAGAGGGGCACATAGGAGGTTTGAGCAATACTTGATTGATTGATTGATTTTTTTTTTTAAAGAAAAAAAGATCAGAAACAAGTATGTGTCCATTTGTCTTATTTGAAACTTAATTATAATGCTGGCATTTTCATTAATAAATAGGTTTTTAAGTAATTTACTGACACTCTCACACTAGAATGAAGGAGAAAATAGTGCTTTCAGTGACTTTATGAGAAAAATTGAATGAAGTTGTTTAAAAATATCTACAAATCACAGACTAAATATGCTAGCTGCTGATCTCTGATGTTATTTTTGTATTAGGTGTGCTACCGAGTAGTAATGCAACTTTGTGGACTTTGGGGCCATCCGATATTAGCAGTAAGAGTCTTATTTGAAATGAAAACTGCCAAGATAAAGCCAAATGCCATTACTTATGGTTATTATAATAAGGTAAGTGGGATTGAAATTAGGCAATATATGCTGCTTATTACGATTATTTTATACTTATTAATATTTATGGTACTTCTATTAGAGGCAATTTTGGAATTGTACTTCTTTTTACGTGTTTGTGTGTGTGTATGTTTTTAAAAAATCACCCTAATATTTATTTTTTTTAAAAAACATTGAGGTTGTTTTGGAGAGCTCATGGCCTAGCAGTACCCGCAGTGGTATCTTTTTATGGACGAAGGTACGGAACGTGGTACGTGGCTTGGCACAATTTAGACAGCCACTTAAAAAGACTGTGCAGAAGTCACAAGGCTCCTCAATATCAGGTAATACATGTGATTGCAAAGATACTTTGCCATTGAATCATAAGCTTCATAGGTATATGAAGCTTTAATTATTTGAGGTTAAAAAAAAGCTTAGATGACATTGTGGTTAATAATGTGACAAACAACTAAAGACATAGATTATAACCATAAAAACAAACCCACTATTTTTAAAATCAGTTCTCACTCATAAACTTTGTTCAAAATACTTTTTAGGTTTTAATTTTTTCAGAAACTTAGAAAGTATTGTACAAACATAGATGAACTGTGGGTCATTCATGTTTAGTGCATGGGGTTTTCAGTGCATGTGTTTTGAAGTGTTGTCCTTATCTTCAGCTCCTCAGAGTGCCGCAGGTGGAAGTGACGGGGACACGGTGAGCCACGGTAGCGTGGATAGTTCTAATGATGCTAACAGTGGGGAGCACACAGTCTTCGTCCGAGATTTAATCAGGCTTGATTCCACTGATAATCACTCTAGCACAGGTACTAAAATCTAGATTTTACTAACCCTTCACTTACTCTCATGTTAAGTCTTTCTTCTTTCTTTTTTAGAAAGTTTTTCCTTTCTTGAGTTTGTGTGATAAGATTATTTTCAAAAGTTCTAAATCAATGAGAGAAGAAATGTAGCTTTGCCCTCCAATCATTTCTCTGTCTTTTCTGTGTAATTCACTTTGGAGAGTGCTCTAAAACAGTCTACTTTGTATTTGTTTATCATTCATCCATATAATTGTTAAGAATTGTGAGCTTTTGTGCTTGAACATTAATGACACAACTCGCAAATCTTTTCCCACCAAATGGAAAATTATCTTAAAACTTAGAGATTGTGACTATTAAAGTGGGAATAAGTCAGATACCATGAGAAAAGATTACTTCTTGGTATAGTTACTAATTTAAATGTCACTTTAAAAAAACTGAGCAACTGCAGAAATGATTTTCTACATTCCTAACTATGGGCATAACCAGTCCTCTGAAGTTAGAAATACACACAATTAGAGCAGCACATTGGGCAGATTATATTTGTGTGTCGCACATCCCTTTTCCTGTGTTGTTGTTACTTTACTATTGTTGTTGTTGTTAATATCTCAAGCTTTTCTTGGAATAGAATTCTGAGCTTTAATTCCTGTGCTGCTTCTGATGAACTTGTCTCAATGACTGAAGTTTCCTTTTCTCTGCTCTTTGTTGTCCTGCTTTTTGCTCTGTGCTGTTTCTTGGTGCTGCATTTGTCCTTGGCTGTCATGGTGTGGGGTGCAGACAGACGTGTATGACGTGAAGCCATGGATACACATGTGCATTAATTCTACCCTTGAATGTTAACTACTTCAGGTAATTTCCCGTTTATTAGGTTAAATTTTGCTGACCTGAAAGGGTGGGGGAGAGACCTTGATTCTGTTTTTTAAGTATTGTTACGAATGGAAAACAATGTTAGTTTTCTTGGCTTTTTTCTTCAGATAAGTGTTACATCATGTAGACTTTACTAAAAACATCCAGCTAACATTTTATGGGCACTCTACAAAGCATGTTTGTTACTACATTTGAAAATATATGATGCGTTGCTATAATATTTATTTTGAGGTTGGTTTTTAGCATCATGTGTCAAAGAGTGTTATGAGAATTATAGAATTTATTGTGTTATGAGGAGCTGTTAAGTATTTTTGCATTTTAAAACTGACCCATGGAATTCTTGTGTTAAAAATTACCTTCTTTGAAATAAAAAAAAAAAAAAAAGTTACCTTCTTTGATAGTGACGTAAGACTATCATTTATGATCATGTTTGTAAATCAACTTGGTTCAATAAGTAGGAATTTTTATGTGACTTTTGTTTGAAAGCTACTTTATTTTACATATGAGTTTTTATCATCTGTAACTTTGCCCTTGTATTTATAGGAGAAATGGATTTCATTTATGAAAAACCAGGAAATAATTTTTTGTTATGAAATCAGTTAAACAGGAATAACAGTAATAAAAACTGTCTAATTTTAAACTTGGTCCATTATATAAGCAGCATAGCCCTTTAATGGAAAAAAATGACCTCCTGGTGGAGCTCTGGTAACATACTGGTTACAAGTCGGGCTACTCATTTCAAGGTCAACAGTTTGAAACTTCCAGAGGTATTGCAAAAGAAAGATTTACAGGAGCTTTCTGCTTCCATAAAGATTGTCAGCCTCAAAACCTTAGAGAGGGTCACTGTGATTCGGAACTGATTCCATGACACATAACCACCATCACCAGTTATTTCGAGAATTGGTATAAAGACTCCAATAGTGGAGAAGAACCTTTCTCTCCCTCTTTGATTTATTTCTTTTTAGCTGCACTTCAAATGACTGAAGCTCAGTTACTGAATTCACAGTGGTTATGTGCTTTGGGTGGCTTTCTGTGGATGTTAACGGATACTTTGAGAGGCTTCTGACACAGATGCTTGAGTTGTTCTTTTCATTAAGGATTGTTTTCCTAGAATCTTCCCACTTAGTACCTGATACCAAGTCAGTTTGCTTATTAGTAGGGACATATCTGGGTTTAATCTGTTTATGATCTAGTGTGCAGTTCATTTACTAGATTGCTTCCTAACGGGACAATACAAACGTAACAAGTTATGCTAAGGAGCTGATTTAAAGAAGTACAGTTCTTTTGTTATATAGCAAATACAAACTTTGAGTGACAGGAAGTAAGGGGTAGAAGTTCATTCAAAGGTACTACTTATTTTTTTTATGTGTCTTTCATTGACATCCTGTATACTGATTCTATAGTAACTGGCCTTTCTTTCCATTTTAAATTACAGAAATTTAAAGCCAAAACAGACTTCTGAAAAATTTAGCTTAAAATAACATAAAACTTACAGAAAAGTTGCAAGAATAGTACATCACACTAACAGATGTCCTTTATAAATATTCATTCATTTTTAGTTTGTCATTTTGCTTTATTGTTTTCTTTCTATATACATACATTAATTTTTTGCTTTTTATATACATACATTAGTTTTTGAAAACAGTTTGCTTATTTCATGCTCTGTTTTTTGCCTTTTAATAATTCAGTAGTGTTTTTTTTCTTTTTTTCTTCCATAACCACAGTATAGTTATTAAACTCAGGAAAACATTGATACAATACTTTAATCTGAGTCTGTGTTCCCATTTTGTCACTTTTCCTAAGCCCTTTTATTCACTTTTCATTAGTCTTCTTTAACATGGCATGATTCCTCAGCCATTCTCTGTCTTTCATAACCCTGACCTTTTTGAATGAATCATTCAGTTCAGTTATTTTACAAAATGTTCTTCAGATTGGCATTGTCTGCTGTTTTCTTGTGATTAGGTTATACGTTTGTAGCTATATTGCATAGTGATGTATCCTTCTCAGATGGGCCAGATCCCAGAGGTCCAGAAAGTCTGTCTGCCCTCACTTGTGATATTAGTTTTGAGCACCAGGCTAGAGTGTTGTCTGGCTTCTCTCTGTGTACTTGCTGTTGCCCCCTTTGCAAATAATAAGCAATTTGAGAGGAAGACCTTCAATTAAGCGTCTCCTCTTCCTTATCAGTTTCTCTTTTAAACTTAGCATCCATTGATGAATCTTGCTTGGACTAATCTTTACTGACAGTTGTAAAAGTGATGATTTTGCCAACTTTATCACTCTCTGTAGATTATAAGATGGCATTCTGGTATATGGAAAGTTTTTTTCTTCTTGTTTATCTATTATTGGTGTGGACTAATGGTTTTCTAATTTATGTAGGGGAGTACTAACTGTTACTACCTTTTTACATATTTGATCCTCAACCTATTGCATTGTTGGCCATTGTAGCTCCTTTTACCTGGTCCTGTGTCCTTTATACACATGCCGCCATGATACTATAGAACACTTCCTTTCTAGTAATCAAATGGTTCTGACTCATCTCATACCATCCCTAACTGAGCACCAGAACCAGGCATTTATTTTTTCAAGGGTCCCAGTATCCTTTGAGTGTGGAATAGACTTTAAGAACCAAAATCTAGGTTCTAGGTATGCACATTGCTACCAGGATATTATCCACTGTTTCAGCAGATTGTTGTTAGGTGCCATCAAGTTGGTACCAACTCATAGTGACTCAGTGGACAACAGAACAAAACATGCCTGGTCCTGGGCCAACCTCACAATTGTTGCCGCACGTGAGCCCATTGATGCAGCCACTTTGCCAATCCATCTCACTGGGGGTCTTCCTCTTTTTCTCTGACTCTCTACCTTACTAAACATGGTATCCTTCTCCAATGACTGGTCCCT